CAGATCTCTCAGCTCCCAGAAATGAAGAAGACCTTAATTAACAAGGGTGACTGTAGGAGAATGGCAGTCATGAGGGAAGGAGTTTCAATCAGGGAGATGAATAGAGCCCTGCAAATCCACGGATAGCTGCATCTGTGGATGCGGTTGTATTGTTTACCATCTTTGCGGATGGGATGCGGATCCAAATTTTTGTATCTGTGCAGGGCTCCAGATATGAGGTACAGAGCAGACGGATAAAAGACTGCAGGGAAGGTGTGACTTGGCTACCAAGGCTCCTTCTGAACAAGATACAGCTGCACCAGCTGGTACTCACTAGATCAATGAACTTGCCGCTGACACTGCCATCTAGCAAGTGGAACTTCCCTCCTTTATCAGCCTCTATGATTGCCGGCGCGTGGGTGAAAGCCTGGACCAGCTGCAGAGAGACAGGCCTTGTGACATTGCAGGACTCACGTTACTGGAAGCACCACAACCTTCTCCCTATAACCTGCACCAGCTGTTCTGAAACCTGCTGGCAGGGGAGTTGCTGCTGCTGAATGCCTCCCACCCCAGCACAAGAGCACTCGGCTCTCTGGAATAAGCGCTTGGCTGAAAGCTTAGGGTCTGCATTTTGAGGATGGGGGACGGAGCAGCGTCTCCACTTTCTAGCCCATTTCTGAAGAGCTCCATGGGGATGCGGACCGAGGAAAAGCTCCCTCAGAGGCAGGAAAGCAGGATTTGTGCTCTGAGGCATGTAATGCCAGCACTCCATTGACAACGTGTTTTGCCTGCTTTTCACAGGACGGGGGACATGCCAGATCTATAGAGGGCCCCTAGCTCTCATTATGCCCTTTCTACCAGTTTCTCCTATGTGCCTGTAACATTACCCCCCAAGACACACTCGTGTGAACTGGTGATCCCCAATTAAAGCCTGGCTCTCAGGGAGCGGGATGTGATTTTCCAGAAACAGAACCGGGTACTGGGGCCTACAGAGACCCCACACGCTTATTGTCATAGGCAATGCCACCGCTAGGGCTGCTTCCCTGCAGAGAGAGGACTGGAGGTAGGCTGGCATCAACAGCCTTGTAAACCATGCAGGGAGAGTGAACACTTATAAATTGGCAGTTCCTGTGGTTTAACTCATCTATGGCAGCCAGCATAGGAAAGTTGTTTAGAGACAGTTAAGACCAGCCCTATAGTACAGTCTCTTGTCTAGTATGCCATTCCTCCCTCCCCTCCTCCCCCCCACCCCCCAAAACAGACTATGTGCTTGATGATTACTTTCAGGAGGCCAGGACACTGCCCCCTCTACTCCTGAGCTGGCAAGAGAGTCAACACCAAGTGGTTTGTGTGTGGGGAGGTCTCTCTTCCCCAGAGGAGGCATCTGCTGCCAAATCACTCCTGAGCAGCTTGAGTCTAAGCTGTTCTACACACAGAAGTGTACTACTCCCAACTCTTCTGGGCCCATCTCCCCGACCATGCTGGTTTACCTCCTGTGTAGTGAACACTCTGTAGAGCTCCTCAGGAGATGTTAAGAAAGTGTCCTTCAAACTGATCTTACAGGTGGGAATCTTGACGCCTATGGGTTTTGACTCAGGCGCTGCAGTGACAGTACTAGCAGTGGTCTAAGGAAACATTAAGAAGCACAATGTTGAATTATATGCTTAGTGCTTACACAGCACTTTATAAACATCTTATTTCCCAGAACCCTCAAATAAATGCAGTTGATAACACACTTAAAGAAAAGGAATGAGGATCTTGGAAAATTTATTTAGGAGCTACCATGCTTCATGGAATAACAAGAAGTTTTAAGACTAAGCCTTGTTACTGACTATACTAGATTTGAGTTAGGGAACATCCCACATTACAAATTCAAATACCCAGGCCAGCAATCACAGACTGCATCCACTGCTGAAGATACTGTAGAGTCTAAGTAGGCAGCTTGACCTATCACACACATCAGATGCACCTAACATGCTGCTCCTTTCTCCAGGACTTCAAGAACATCTATGGGATGTTTTATTTACCTTGTGGTCTTCTGTTTTAGCTACCAACTGAGGAGCTGGCTCTGTTTGCTCCCCATTTACTGTAGGTAAAATCATGCCTTGGGTGAACTCTGAAAAGACAGAAATATGCAATGAACCTAGCAAAGATCAGGTCAACGTTTTAGCTGCTCAACATGCTGTAGGACACACAAGGCTGCAAAAGCCTGACCCAGGATTAAGGTCATGACTGGAAAGTATGTACTGAACAGAACTTGAGTCCCTAATGTGAACTGGGAGAAGGGTGCAACAAACCCCTTGAGGGTGCAGGGCCACCCATTTCAGGGAGATTTGAATTCTGTGTATAAGAAGTGTGTTCAGACTGTCAAAAAAGATTATTGGTTTACATCAACAAAACTGCTGCAAAAATCTCAAGTTGTCAGTTCACCTCAAATCCAGCTAGAGCTAGATACAGTCTCTATGTATTGTTAGTATCTTGGAAAAGAGGAGCACGTGGCAGACAGCTAGTGCCCCAGAAGAGTCAATTATATATGGAAAAGGAGACACCACATATTTCTTTGACAAGTTGAAAAAACAGAGAGCAAGACTCCATCATACCACAGTAATGTCAGTCACTGTTGCCTCAGAGTCTCTCTCCTCTATCACTTACACATGAACAATTGTTCTGTCATCATAATCTTCTCAACAGCTGGGCTTCAACTCAGTTATGGATATGCTTAGCTTTACAGGGTGCCATGGAACACCCAGTCTGTTTATCCCCCCAGGCTAATGGAGGTAGAAGTGGATACAGTTACTAAGGTAAGCTAGAGAGCTTGGAGCTCAGTTTACTGCAAAGACTTCAAAAAAACCTCCTGCCCTGGGTCATCTGATTCCAGTGCAGCAATGAAAAGGTAACTATTGCTGTAGCTTCCCACTGAAGAACTGTGGGGAGAGTTGCTTCCACCTCAGCTGCTATTTAGCAGCTGCAGGGGGGTTTCCTCCCTCACCGTTATGTACCTGTTTTGAGCGTGCTGATGTAAGTGCTCATTGCATTCCTGATCTTTTTCATGCCCTCTTGCTTCATCAAGACCATTAAGTTGGTGTCAGGCTCATCTTTGGCAAGGCTGATGGAGATCTAAGCAAAACAGACAAAGGCCTGGTGAACAAAACCACAGTCACATGGTCCTTTTAAGACAGGATTTAACATCATAACTAATGCTTCAGCCTGGAAAGCATTTCCAGAGGAAGCTATGAAGAAGCTTTAATACCTTTGTTATAACTCGTTGCCTCATGTGCTACCAGTTCACAGTAACTTCTGCACCTATTCAACTGTCTATAGCTGCTATGGCTCCACTTCTGACCAAAATCAGTATTGAAAACCAGTTCCCTTTAAGCTAAAACATATGCTGCTTATCTGGTAGAGGTGCAGGATAAACCTAGGTGGTCTACCAAAGAACAATGATGGGCTACATCCTTATAGGGCTGCTTTAGAGAGTTAAGCTGGGAATATTTTGTGCTTTGAGACCCTTTGGTAATGAAGTGGCACAGTCAGCAGTATTAGCCATAACTGTGCTTACCTCAATTTCATCAACATCATTTTCATCCGAGAGGTTGGGAATCTCCACATGCCCCTTATACTTCACTCCCGACTTTGAGGTGCCTGTAGAGAGCAATTATACTCTGATTAAAAAGGCTTGTTCGGTTCAGCTTTCCTTGCTCTGACTGCTGCAGAGGGGCAACCTCATAACATTTCTCAGAAAAGTGACTTTCCGCTGACCCCCTTTTGGGAAAACCGTGGAAAACACTGTCCATAACCCTGTACTAGACCCTTGCCCTGAAAGAAAACAGAGACTATAACTCACCTGTCCATGACAGCTTGACATTCCACTCGTAGAAAAATATTAGCTTCCCTTTGCGGTTGTTGATGGATGCTTCTCCATCCAGTTTACTCACTTCTGTCACTTCACAGGCCCCCTCCTCATTCTCTACTCTCACCTCCAGAAACAGACCTTTCAGCTTCTCTGTAGACCAATTAGAAGCATCCCGTTCAGTCCTGTAAAGATCAAAGTGGTGTAAGAGCACTTTGGAAAATGGACTGCAACAATGTCTAATAACTGGCTTTTGGTGTGTCGCTGCTTGAACACAATTAGTATTTCTGAAATATTGCTTTTGCGCTCCCCACCCAATCTCTTTCCACGTTATCCTCCCTACACCGAGAACGGTCTCTGATGCGATGTCCGACGCATCATCCCGTGCTCCCTTCACTTAGCCTGCTGCTGCGGAGATCTAATCCCTTCCCTTCTCCCACCTGGCCACGCACCCACCCGACTCTCCCAACATTAGGACGGATGCACGGGGGAAGGGGTCGGGACAAGATGCTCACACCCCGTGACCGATGGGTCAGGCGGCTCTCAGTGACGACCCTTGCCGTGCCCCCAAACGCTGACCGGGTCCGAGGCATTGGGCTCCCCTGAGCAGGGGCCTGGTGGTGCCGCAAGTGCCGTGCACGCGGAGGGGCAGGTGCGGTGCTGCCCCCAGGCAGCCTCCCCACGCTCGGGAGCAGCCTCCCCCCGCACGGACTGGCCCGTTATCGCGTCCTCAGGCAGCGATCGCTGCCGAGCATGGAGCAGCCTCCTGCGCCCGGCCTCGCTGGCCCGATGTAGCCAGGCCCGCGCCCCGCGCCCGCCTCTCACCAGTGCCAGTTGTTCACATTGGTGGCGTCCGCTCGCTGCTCCACGATCCAGCGCGGGTCACCCTCCCCCCACTTGGCCATCGGAGCCTCCGGACGCGCCGCCGCCGAGCCCGGCTCCTCCGCACTGCCCGCCTATGGAACCTACTAGAACCGCCGGCAGCCGCCTCCCGGCTTCCGCCGCCGGCACACAGTCCTTCCGGTCCCGCGACACGGTCCGACCGGGGCGGGGCCCCGACACTTTGGTTCCGGCTCGGTCGGGGCGCGCGGAGAGTTCTCCCTCCCGCGGCGTCTGGCCGTGTCGCTATGGACACAGCGTCCCCCGCTGCGAGCGCCCGCCGGCCCTCAGAGCTCTGCGCCTTCCGCCAATTGTGGCGCAATAATTTTAGCTCCGCCGCCGATGGGTAGCGGGATGTCAAAGCCAACCCCGTTTCTCGCGAGGCCTGTTGGGACTCGTAGTCCAAATCTCCGCGGACAGAGGCCCCGGGAACAAGGCAGAGGGCGGCGTGGATGAGACGGGAAGGCGGAAACTACACGTCCCATGGTGCTTTGCGCGGAGCTAACAGTTCCCCCCATCCCGGGGAGGAGGGCGGCACTCTCAGGGCAGTCGGGCTGGCTGGAGGGGCGGTGAGCACCTGTGTCCTGGGGGCGGCCCCGAGCCCCTTCCCTCTGTGCCGGGCGGGGCCTGCTTGGCCCTGCCGCTCACAGTCACTACGCGGCTGCTCGGGGCCCCGCTGGTGCCGTTGCCCCGGCCTTGGAGGGCCGAGACAGCCCGGCACGCCCGGCCGAGCAGGGGCCCCGGTGTCTGCCCTCTGGCGCAGCCGGTCCCCCCGTGCCAGTCGGGTTATTGACCTGCCGGGCCACGGGCTGATCTGATCCGCCACAGCCTCGCTTCGCACTATTCCCTTCTCCTCTGGCCGGCCCTGTGGGGCCACCCTCTTTTCCTGGTCAGGCGCTGCAGTCCCCTGAAAGCCCTGAAGTGGGGTGACCCAAGGGCCCTCCCTTGTAGGGCCTAGGCCCTGAAGTGCTGGTTCTGATCCAGCCTGGGGAGATTTGCCTGTCGCTTAGCACGTATGTTTCTCTTTGGCTGCTTTTCCAGATGAACAGGATGAAAGTTGACGAGGAGGAGTATTGGCACAGCTCCAAGTGTAAAGCCTTCACATTTGATGATGATGATGAGCTCTCCCAGGTATAGTCTTCAGACTGCATGGATTGATAAAACCCTAGAGACTCACCTCTTTCTTCCAAAAGATTGGAAAATGGAGAAATCCAGCTGCTTAAGGGCTCCCCTGCATACAGTTAACTCCTTTCCCCCCTCTGCTCGAAAGAAGCTGCACAAGACCCATGAGAAGGAACAGGGAATCTGAAAGGCATAAAATGTTGGTTCCTGCATTCTTCCTCAATTTCTCTATAAATCTTGGAGGATCTGTGTAATGTTCCTGGGAGGGGAAATAAGTAGAAAACACCAAAAAATATGGTATATTTTTCTTTTTAAAAATAACCATGGGAGTTGTTGGACCTCAGTTCCTTTTTCTAGTAGATTTGTGTCTGTTGTTGTGCGAGTAGACTCGTAGTAGATTTGGTCCCCTTCATGGCCATTTTAGCAAACTGGATCAGGAAAACTGAATTCCCTCTTGCCCTAGAGTCCCTGAGGATAAACAGCAATCTTCAAAACTATCAAGCAGGCACCTGTGCTTGGCACTACATTAATTGAAAATTTCAGAATTAACCTTTTAATGAGTTCTACTCACCGACTTAGTCTTGCTAGGCAAATAAGAGATAAGACAGATATTTCTTGTTTTTTTTATCTTCTGATTATCTGTGTGGAGATCCTTAAGGTCTCTTGGCATCAGGCCTCTAGGGCAAATCTGAAACCTCATAATAAATTGAGGGTAAATGACCTTTCCAATGATTCCCCACCTGCATCTCCTATTAGTTTGAGGTATTTATAACTGACCACTCAGATGTTCATAGTCCTCAAATTCCATATACTGGGTGAAAAGGGGCTGATTGTTGGCCAATTGCCTTGTGCAGAAGTGTGGAACATCTTCCACTGGTCTTTCAGCTCTGTGGGGGCTGGGGAAGGCATGTGCAAAAGGTTTGTTTGGATGGGAGTGGGTCCAGGAAAGCCTCAGGCTACCTGAGTGGAACAGAGATGGTCTTCATCCTAGCCTTGTGTTTGTCCATAGCTAAAGGAGTCCAAGCGGGCAGTGAACAGCCTTCGAGACATTGTAGATGATGATGACGACCTTGAGAAGTTCAGCTGGAGTGGGGAGCCAGTGGGCAGTAAGTGCAGGGGTATCTGAAAGTTATGTTGGGGAGGGAAAGCGTATTAAAACATTCCTGTCTGGACTTGAGCTGTGCAGCTACTTTTCTTACTCCAGAGTCAGATCCCTTCCCCAGGAATGCTGGGATCTCAGAGTCTAATCCTCCCGCTTCCGATTCTTTCATGTAAACTTGTATCTGCCTGTGCCCATTAGAAGGAGAATGAGATGAGGTCCCCAGATGTCTCCTTTTGTACTCTTTCCATTTATACAAGTGGAGGGAGTTCCACTCTCCCTCTCCCACTCCCAATATCCAGCATAGGCCAGCATAGACTTCATCCATGCCTGGCATCCACCAAGCTTAGGTGAAGGAACTGCCAGAAGTATGACTGACAACCTATTACGCTCTCCTACGCTTGAAACCTGTTTCTCCAAAAATCTTTTATGCCAGTTCCTGCAGGACTTTGTTGGAGATGCTACAAGCTTCAGCGTGATGATTGATGGGCTGATGGGGTGTTTGAGGTACAAGTTTCAGTTGCAAGCAGCTGAACCAATCCATTTCAGGTGGACAGTTGGAGAGAGCTGGGTTATGACCCTCTGACAGCTGCTGTCCACATCCTTTGGGGGTCATGACTCCTGGATTGTTATAGGGAATAGCAGAGATCAAAGTGCAGACAAAACTTGCTCCTTGGAGCAGTCCTGGGGATAATCCTACAGTATTTTGAGGTTGTCAGATTCCTTAATGCTGAGAGTCCCCTTCTTGGATAGTTAATATCAGGCATGGCAAGCCGGTCAATTGACTGATCAAATAATGTCAATTGACTATTATTTGATCATGCTCAAATTTCCACTAAAAATGCCCTGATGTAGGTGGCAACCTATCTTTTTGATTTCATCATGGTGCCATTCTTTCATTTCTTAGAATTTCATTAGATTGTGTTTTTGTGTTTTTCTGAGTTAAAATAATTCCGTTAAGTAACTTGTTTTTTGTAATTTGGCATAAGTATCTATTTAAAGCTAAACCTGTTGGAGACCATAAAGTTTTACTGTTTTGTTACTGTTCTAATAAATTAGTGCTTTAAAATGTTTGACCATTTTTGACATTATTTGGCAATATTTGGCCAATATTTGATTGGTCAATTGACCAATTTTTTGGACCACTAAAATGCACAACCCTAGTTAATATTAGTATAATCTGCTCCCTGTGTCCCGTCCCCCCCATCCACCAGATCAACACATTCGTGGCACTGCGCAGACAATTGAAGTGTAATAATTAAAAACTTCCCAAACCTACGATGCTAGGTGCTGTGGCATCTTAGATAAAGGGGGCTGGCAGGGATGGCTAGCAACATGCCTGGGAAAGAAGAGATTTCATTCTTCTGAGAACAGAACAGGGATGGGGTGAGGCAGGGTTGTGGGGAAGCAAGGTCCATATACCCTAAAGGTCACCACAGTAACAGTTTAGTCCCTGCCAAGCTATGGGCAGGGGTGGGAGCTCTACAAGGTGGGTGATGTAGGAGCACAGTTTCCTGTTAAGAAGAAGCTTGGATATAGCCATGTCCTCAGGTTTGGACCAACCCAGTGAACTTAAATGTTGTGCATGGATCCCCCTACCTTATTCTTATTACCTGAGAGATCAAAGGGTTGCAGTGCTCCCACCACGCTGCAGCTAGTTCTTTTCACTGAGTCAGCGCTTCTCATCTTGCACCGCAGCTGCTCTTCTTGCTTGTGTCTCCTGTTCACCTTCCCAGTCAGCCTCTTC